GTGTGTGTGTGTGTGTGTGTGTGTGTGTGTGTGTGTGTGTGTGTGTGTGTGTGTGCGTACGTGTGTGTGTTTGTGGGGGGGGATGTCTATGTGTGTGTGTGTGTGCGTACGTGTGTGTGTTTGTCGGGGCGGTTGTCTATGAATGTGTTTTGTTTTTTTTCTATTTTTTGTGTTTTTCATTTTTTTTAAACATACATATGAACTTAAGAAAAACCCACCCATTTCATCTTTTTTTTTCTTTTTTTTTTCTTTTTACGTTTTTGATTTCTCAAAAATATAGCAAAACTTCAAAAAATAAAATAAAAAACATAGGGTTCTAGATCTCAAAAGGATCTACAACCCTATATATATATATATATATATATATATATATATATTGAGCATTTTTTACCCCCCCAAAAAATACCCCCGCGCCCGCTCAAACCCCGCTCAAGGCGCTTTGAGCGCGGGATTGAGCGGCGCTCATAAACTCTAGTGCCGACCGCGTGCTCAACCAGTGCGCGGTTTCACAGACGTGTTGGCCCTTGCTCTAGCACGTGCCTTTTTGAAGAAGACTTTTGCCATCGTCCCCTCCGTATGTGCCCGTTTAATCTTGGCCTGAATTCTCCACGCCTTGGCTTGATGATGCAAGTATTCTTAGAGGTGATATCGGGCGTGTTGTAGTTGTTCGAACGCGGGGTAGTGCAGTGGATCAAGCATGAGTTGTTCATCCCAGTCTTCCAGGTCTTGCATCAACTTGCCGAGGACTCGAGGATCCATGTCGCATCTTTCTTATTTGTCATTGCTTGAATCATACCGTTAACATTTAGTGACCGGATGTCAAGGTCCGCTTGGGCAAACTTAGTAGCCCATTGGGGCGGTTTCCTGACCCGAGGGAATATAGGAGAAGAAAGGGGCCGTCGAGGGGGAGGAGGTGGAGGTGGAGGAGCGAGTGTCCCGTGGGGCTGGGGAGATTGGGATGGTGGGTCAGGGGCTCACCCTGGTATCGGGCTCATCGGTCCGTTTGTTCCACTGCGGTTTCCTGACCCGAGGGAATATAGGAGAAGAAAGGGGCCGTCGAGGGGGAGGAGGTGGAGGTGGAGGAGCGAGTGTCCCTGTCTCTTATACACATCTAGATGTGTATAAGAGACAGGTACGCGGATGTGCCAATAGAGGAGGAGGAGAAGAAAGGGGCCGTCGAGGGGGAGGAGGTGGAGGTGGAGGAGCGAGTGTCCCGTGGGGCTGGGGAGATTGGGATGGTGGGTCAGGGGCTCACCCTGGTATCGGGCTCATCGGTCCGTTTGTTCCACTTTGAGCTGTCCACATTAGCAGTTTTGGTTAAGACCCTTGATATGTTGGTTGCTCAAGCCTTACTGTTGATGGGGAGCGGGAGCAACGGTCCTCCCACTGGTTATGTTCTTCCAACATGTTATTCTCCAGGAAGGCCTGCATGAAGAGGAAAACCGTAGACCTGGTCCATGCGCAATTCGTCTGAAAGCACGTTGTGCTCATTTCCATAAGTTGATGGTGATTGAACCATTTGATGTCCGTTGTCTTTTTAAGGGTTCAAACACACGGGTTCAACAGCAGGAGGACAGGGATAATGCCAGCCGAAAAAAAATGGCAGGACTACCCCCAAGACTTTCACTATATTGTTCTCCCTTATCTAAAACCTAAACCTTTTTATTATAACTGCGTTGGAGGGGTTGCCTCTCCATCCTTCCACGGTAACTCTGTTTTGGGCTGAAGTGACCTTCGGATGTGAGGGTTGTTGTATGTTGTTTCCTGGGGGTCTAAGGCCAAGCAGTCATTCCCCTCCATTTATACTTTCCCTTATGAGCGGGAAGAGGACCACTCCAGGAGGCATGGCTACTGGGGGACTGTCATCCTCCTGTAGTCTCACCAGTTCACGCATCTTCCTTGGGAGGGCATCCATGGGTATGTCTTCCCCCAAGTCGGGAATTTTTGCTTCCTCATCATCTAGGACGATGACCTTTGCTTGAGCATTCGGTCTGGAGGATTGCAGCGCAACAGTCATTTGGTGTGCTGGCACGAGTTGTTGATCTGCCGGTTTTTGCAGCAGCTCGTCCATCGCCTGGGTGGCGTGTGGCATCCCTCCTAGTTGCTGCTCCTGTCCTTGTGCTTGGTCCTGAATCTGAAGCATCCAAGGATCAGGCCGAAGGATAGGATGCTGATAAATCGCGCTTTCTAGTCCTGGCTTTATTCCCACGGTCCTGGGATCCCCATCAGGGAGAGCGTGGAGTGTGATACATAGTTCATGGACCAGAAGTTTTGGCCAAGCCAGACCCTCATGCAAGAAGGCCTCATCAGTGGGGACAACACAGTTGGGGGAATTTTCGCCGCCAGTCTATCGTTCCCCGAAGTGGATGTTAGCATAGTTGACTATTTTATCCAGGAAGTCGTTGACGACTAGGACAATGGAAGCTCCCACGTCTTGCCAATCAATAGCTAAAATGTTCTTATATTTTTCAACCGTGGCAAGAACTTGGGGGCTGCGCATCAACACCCTTTTAGCCTCCCCCCAATAGCGATTGTCAAGCTTGTCCCCCGGTTTGTCATCTGTTAGGGAGAATATTTTGGTTAGTGTCCAGTCCGTGAGGAATGCCAGTTTCTGTTGGACTTCATCATCGGTCGTGAGCGGGGGGGGGAGGTATCTGTCTGTGGTGGAACCCGTGGCAGGAGGATTTCCACATCCATGTCCATAAGCGGGGACTAGTGTTGGCCCGTCAGTTGAGTCTCCGGAGGGGGAGCCGAGGTGTCCATGTCTTGTGGTCCTTCATACCAGCCTGGGAGAGCAATAGAGGGGTGATCCGGTTGAAATTGTATATGTTGTTGGATCGCTTTCTGTCTGTCCGCCTCCTGTTGCCAAAAGATGTGTAGCTGATGTTGTTGTTGGTGTAACACCTGCTGCTGGTCATAGCAGTGATAGGACAACTGTTGATGCCATTGCAGGTGCAAGTGATTCAATAACTGTTGTTGCTGCATCATTTTATCTTGCTGCGGTCGGTGCTGGTATTGCGCGAGCTGTGCTTGTAGCAGTAAACGAAGTTGGGCCTCACATTCTGTCCTCTGTAGGATGTGTAGTTGATGTTGTTGTTGTTGGGCGTGCGCTTGCGTTTGTTGTTGCAGAATTTGAAGGTGCAATTGTTGTTGCTGTAGGAGCTTCTGATGCTGACTTTGTTGCCATTGTGCATGTTGCAGCACTAATTTCTCCCGAGGTTGTTGCTGCTATTGCTGGAGAAGTGTTTGCTATTGTGGGTGTTGCGGGTGCTCTTGTGCAGCTTGGTCATAGGGCAGGTGCTCTTGGCTGGACCTGCGATGGTTGTCGAAAAGCCAGGTCGACGAGCTCGAGTGATACTGTTGTAGTTGTGGCAATTCCTTGTGGTCAGGCCGAGGTGTTTGAACTCCGAAAGGGTTGCGGTTGGTCTCACGCTGTATATCCATCGTGTTTTGATGTTCCAGGTAAGGTTGTTGTTGCCGTTGTTGTTGGCGTGGGTGTTGCTCTTGCTCGTTTTGCATGAGGTCCAATTGTTGATGTTGTACTTGGTTTTATAGCTGCTCATAACTCATGGCTTCCGACTGTCCCCTCATCATGGGGGAGTCCTCTTGATACTGTAGTGGTTGTTGTTCCATTTGTGGCTCTGACTTCAACGACAATTGTTGTGCAATGTCGTAGCAGGTGCAACTGGGCTTGGCTACTGACCAGTGACCCACCGCCCAACAGAGCACGGGAATGGTGTTCTGTTTTGGGTTGGTGCTCGAGGTCTTGTTATTGTTGGAGGTGCTGCTGCTGCCCCCGGTATGGATTCAACAGACCTTTCTACTCATTTGTAGTGTGCAACGTATGAACCGTCTGGCCCGGTGTCAAGCGGCAATTCTCCTGGTGCAGCGGTTGCTGTTGCGGGTGTAGTTGTACCCATTTCTGCTCATCTTCAATTTGCAGCGCGTGATTCGTGAGATTCTTCTGTCCCGGCGTCAAGCGGTGATTCTCTCGGTGCTTCAATTGCTGTTGCGATTGTGCTTGCACCAGTTTCAGTTGCGGTTCTTATTGAATCTCCGGTTGCTGCATTTGTCCGTGCAGGTGTTGTTGTCGAGGTTGTTCTTGCTTCTCTGTTCAGTACTCCCCTTCATCCTCCCACTCGATCAGCCCTTTACTATCTCCTCCTGGTCTCGCGGCGGCCGTAGGGGAGGGTATGAGCAGGAATTTACGTTCCCCTGTGAGCTCCGACATAACTTCTTTGAGCCGTGTCTTTCCTTCACCCGACGGTTGTTCCTGTTCCTGCATCTGTCTTTCTCCGGGGGATTGAGACAGGTGCAGGATTAGGTGTTGGGGCCGGTTTTCATCGGATAAGTCATGTTGTGAGGCCTGCGCGTCTAAAGAGGAAGATTGTGATAGTTGCAGCTTCATGACCTCTGGTTGTCGCTGCTTGTCCGGGTCCGTCTTTGCCTGGTGCTCATCCAGTCATTCCTTCGGGCCAGTAGAGTGTAGCTCCTGCTTCTGAACGGGGAGCAGCCGGCTCAATCGTTCCTGAGGGCCTGCATGCATTCCTGGGGGGCTATCTTGTGGGGGGACCTCCATTTCTATCACCGTTTCTTTTACCAACGCCTAAGGAGAGCTGGGGACACTTGGGAATCCCCTAGGGGGTGGATGTTGTGGAGGGTGTTGGAGGTGTGGAGGTAGCTTTCCCTGTGGCAGCTCCCTGTGTTGGGAGAATGCTACATCCTTTATCTTTGTTAGAATAGAGTTGGCCTTTTTCCACATCTGTTGTTGTTTGTGTGCTTTGGCGGTCCCATCATCCGTTCTCTTCGGGATGTAATGTATGACTACTATGCTTGCCGTCGTAGTTTCATCGAGGCGCCCTTGTTTTCCATCCATTTAAACTTTGGCTTCCTCTGGTGGGAGCAAAAGTGGGCCTCCCCACAATTCTACCCGGAATGAAGAGAGTTTTTCTCAGCCAGACCAACTTGGATGTAGACAAAGCAGCACATTGTAACGACCAGCCCAGCCTGGCAAGGCAAAGACGCAGAGTTTAATTCAATCACTCGAACCGGTCGGACCTTGGCCCTATCTCGGGCCTGAGGCCTATTGTCACCCAAGCAAGGCAAAATGGAGCCACCGAGTGACAGGTTGGTCCAACCTTGTACTCGACGCACTTCTTCTACCTACTTTCTCACCTCCCATTTCACCCATTAGATCATATCACCCCAGATGATGCATTATATACTTCCTAACACTATTCCAACCTCTTCCGAGATTTTACTTCCAATCCTTCACATCCCATTAACCCTTCCCCTATTCACTAAGCTAATCTACTCTCAACCATGGAGACCAAACCAATTTCCCTGTTGTAGCCGAGACAGCCACCAGTCTGTTCTTTTTAGCCCAGGATCGAAGAAACCATAGTCTTGCTCTGAACCAGCCTGGTCCTGCTTTAGATATGACTTTGTTTTGCCAGTCCACAATGATCATATGTCTGAGTATAGCCTTCATCCCGCTCGTCAAAGCTGGATCTGAATAATATTTTCGTTGAAACAAGACTGAATTCCCCTCCTTCCAAATCCACCAGATTACCAGGGTCCGTACAACAGTTGCTACATATCCGCATCCTTCCCCGCTTAGAAGAGGGTGTTTGAGCTGACCTGTCACTGCCCATTCCAAATCCCATTCCACCTCCTCTGGCCCACATGCCTTCCAACGGTAAGTCCACCATCTCCAGATGTGGAAGGAGAGAGGACAGATACCTTATAGATGTGTTGCATCTTCTGATTGTTGATGGCACCTCACACACCTCACTTCCACCTCCATGCCCCTTGCGAACAGTGATACTGCATTTAAGGGCGGTCCATGAGTTATCAACCACACTACTGCCGACGCTTTCTTATTTGGCAGCGTTCGACACACAACTTTACAAGTTGACATCGTTTTTCAAATCTTTCGCGATGGAGCGCTGCCAACGGGCAGACGCAACAGGCAGTGCGATGCCAGGTGGAGCCCTGCCAACCAGGTGGAGCGCTGTTAGCAAGCGGTGCGATGGCAGGTGGAGCACTGCGAGCATGCGGTGTGCTGCCAGGTGAAGTGCTGCTAGCGGGAGGGGGGCTGTCAGGGAGAGTGTTGTTAGCGGGTCGTGCGCTTGTAGGTGGAGTGCTGCTAGCGGGCGGTGCACTGCCAGGTTGAGAACCGCTAGCGGGCGGTGCGCTGCCAGGTGGAATGCTGCTAGTGGGCGGTGCGCTACCAGGTGGAGCGTTGCTCCATGCGCGGCTGCGGAGCCGTATCTATTGCGTAAAGGTTAATAAGGGGAGTCGTCATAACACTGCCACATCAGCAAAGGAAATGAGGGAGATGACATCACAGGGATACATACGTTGAGCACGGCTACTCTACAAGGGGGATGGTGGCGTCTCTAGTTGACAGAGAGGAGGGAAAGGTGATGGTCTTCTGTTCTGTCTCGTGCTGATCTCCTGGCGTCGCAGGCTGGCGCAGGTAGAGAGGGGGGGTTATTGCTTTTGCTTTGTGGCGCGAACCTTCAGGCGTTGGTAACCTCAGTGTGACTGGGGATACTTTGCTTCATGGGGTGGGACGTTCTCTTCGACTTTGGCCAACTTTCAGTTTCAGTGTCCTTGTGGATTTGTCGTTGACCTTCACTCATACTGCGTTGCCAACGGCGGTAATTTTYATCATCATCATCATCGACATTTTTCATAATGTGGGGATAATGGCGGTACTTTTCATCATCAGTATCATCATCATCTTCATCGTCTGACGTATTAAGGGTCGTCTCTCCTTTACACTTGGCGTCTTTCTACTTGGCTCTCTCCTGCTTCATCTTCTTCTCTTCATTTCGGGGTGATAATGGGCAGAAGTGGAGGAGGGAAGGGTGTGGGTGGGGCTGGGTTATGTAGGAGGAATGCATGAATTTGGTTTTCGGAAATACTCTTACTGTGACTCTCATCAATTTTATTCCTATTTAATTCTCTTCTTCAGTTTTATTTTTGGTCACTTATACGTCTGAAACTATATTCTCAAATGTCATCAAAATTATCGTCATTATCATCTCCAATTAAAATCCCAACTAAAATCCTATCAAAATTATCGTAATTATCATCTCCAATTAAAATCCCAACTAAAATCCTGATAATTTTCCAATATTTTCCTGATAATCCGTACCTTAAACCTTGGCTCCTCACGATAGACCAATCTGAATGGTATTTTTAATACCTAAAAATCTCTAGTTAATCAATTTCTAATTCATTAGTCCATCTTTTCAATTTGAGTTCAAGCGGTTCACGCCTAGTGCTGTCGTGGAACTCCACAACATTTTCCATAATTGTATTTCTGTTTGTAATCGTTATTTTCAAAAAATCTGGTATCTATATCTCTCGTGCAATCAGTTCAACCAGTAATTCTGGTGTTCTCACCTTAGTCTTTTGAATTAGTTTCCAAAAATGGGTAGGTTGGTTGGAGGGGGAGGTGAGCTCTGCTCTGCACGGGCTGCACAAGTTGGGTAGTGAGGCCCTGAAGGGGGTATAAGCAAATTTGTGAGGAATACTCTATTCCAAACCTCAGCGAGGGCAGATTAGGGTAAGGGGTAAGCAGAGGCATTTTTCGCTGAATGCCTCTGGGGGTTACTGGGGAGGGTGTGGGACTGTTCTTAGCTGGGGCCGATAAGGATGGTCTGTAATTAGGATATTCTCTTTTCGGCGGAGGCAGCGACAGGACAGGGGGAAAGGTGGTGGGTAGGGGGGGCTTTTCCATGTTCATTTATGACATTCATGAAAAAATAAAAGTAAAAAATCAATCATGTCATATCCCGCTTTCTGGTGTTCTGTAATTCTTGGCGACATTTGGCCTTCTTCCTTAGTCGAGATAGTATTTCAGACATGGTCGAATCCGGGCTGCTATCTACATAGTTGCTTTGTTTTGTGCCTCTGTTATGCGGATGCCAGAACGACGCTGGCCGGAGCTGGGGCGTTGCCCTGTAACCTGCAAATGGCAGGAGTGTGAGGCTTCGTAGAGAGATCTGAGGATTGGTCGAGGGAGGAAGACAATCCAGTGGGGAACTGGGGGGTGCTGCCATGACAACCTATGGGTCCAGGATTAGTCTAGGTGACGAGAACATGATAGTTATGGTTGATGTTGGCTAGGATGGCATGTCTCTTAGATGTAATGTCCTGGTTCAGGGAGGGCTAGGGGTTGTTCTAAGATTAGAAGGCCAAATTTGCTGATACAACATAATCTTTACTGACGTCAATCATTATCATCACCACCCTCATCAGATATGTCATTTGTAGGGGACTAAACTAGATCAAATCCTTTATTTTTTGGTATTATTATCAATTTTGTTGATTGTCTGATTGAGTTGTGAATGACATTGCACTTGCCGTGGTCGAGTTGATGTCAGAACAACGCTGACCAGTGTTGGGGCATCGCCCTGTAACCTAAACTACTGGGAGCTTGAGGTTATAGAGAGATCTGGGGATTGCTGAGGAGGAAGGCAGTTCACTAATTTAACCGGTGGTAACAATCCTGCTGACGATGGTCGGAGCTGGGGCGGGTAGCGCTGCCCTGT